TCTGAGTAAAACCAAAGTTACTTTCCCTAGTAACTAGTTACTTTGAAAGTAACGAGTAACTTGAAGTAACTGAGTTACTTTTGATAGAAGTAACTAGTAATGTAACTCAGTTACTATTTTAAAGTAACTTACCCAACACTGAGAGTATATCTGCAAATATGCTCTAAACAGTTTGTCATCTTCAAAAGGTGAACATTTTTTTCTTTGTTTTTTCTGTGTATCTGACCACATATCTGTAACATCTAACTGAAAATTGACAAAGTAACTAGATTAAGTGTTGTGACTATTCTACTTGCCAAAATACACTGCTCAATAAATAAATAAACTAAGGAAGATTTTTCATCAAAGTATAGCATCGAGTCATTTGAACTTCTGGGATCTTAATTTGATCAGCTAAGTAGCAGTGGGCGTTATTACAGGAGAGCTGACAGGGCTGTAAAAGGTCCCGACCTATCAGCAGAGCTAGAATCTGTTCCTTTGTGCAACGAGTAACAGGATAAGCACTGTTCCCTTTTTGAGCAATAAAGATCATAGAAAAAAATATTCTGACAAATCTTGAACGAATGGTGAATCATGAGTGGCTGCTAAGTCCAAATAATACTCAGGCAGTGTTTACTCATGACAGGATCATTTCTTAAAACACACCAAATAGTGTGTGGTGCTTAAATCTAACTAGCAAGTGAGACTGTCTAAATTTTTTCATGTCTTGACTTTGACTGGCCTCTCTAAAGTCTTCTTTTTTATAGTCATTCAGAGGTGGACTTGCTGGTGTATTTCGGATCATTGTCCAACTGCAGAACTGAAGTGTGCTTCAGCTGGCGGTCAAAAAGAGATGGCCAGATATTCTCCTGCAGGAAGTTTGGTAGACAGCAGAATTCATGAATGTTTGGATTTGTTCCCCCTTAATAATAAACACCTTCATTCAGAAGCTGCATTTTGTGTTTACTTGTGTTATCTTTGTCTAATATTTAAATTTGTTTGATGATCTGAAAAATTTAAATGTGACAGATACAAAATATAGTGTCGCGAAATCAATCAATGTAGAGCAGTGTCACAAACCACGGAGGCCCCAGAAAAGTGCAATGAAACGATGAGTTTATTAACAGCCTGGAGAAAACATCAACATATGTCTTCTGACCAAAATACATGTTTTGGACACTTATAAAGCAGTGGGGTACACGCCCCCCCATGGCGTCAATGACAGATTAAAATAGGTTCCAGACATTAGTCACCGTTAATCGTACATCTTTAATAGCTATAACAGACATAGAACTTCTCTTTTCTATAACACCTTCCATACAAGGTAATAAACTTCAAGCCCTCTGGTCTCTGAGGCTAATTATTGACTCTGGTCGCCTGTTACCAAGTAGAATAAAATATAGTAAGACACCAAATGAGTTAAGGCCTCAGGCCGGACACATTCCTAGATTATATGTATTATATGTACTGTAAGCATGCATTGCAGCTATCCTTCTATGTTCTAGTTTCCCTCAGCATGGATCACCTGGACAGTCACGCCAGTGAAGCTTAAGACCCTTAATGACCCGAACATCAACTCAAAATAAGCTCAGATATGCAATGTGTGTAAAATACTTCTAACCGTACCTGTAATAAAAGTTAACATAATGGAAGGATCCTCAAATGCACATCTTCAATAAACAACTGTAATGCAGTATCAATACTGTGAGAAACATTATTAGATGGAATAATGCTGTAAAGAATGTTATTAATGCAGTTATAATGATGCAG